TTTCTGTTTCGAATTCTGTATCGTAAATATATAACTGAAGGAATTTTGGCACTTCATCAGATGGTAGAAGAGACCCTATAGAATGGTATATTCCACCTTGTATTCTAAATGTATAAACTCCGCTCCTGCCTATTAGAAAGTTAGTCATAGTTATATATATATATATTTACATATTGAATAAAATTATTTACCACTTGCAATGGGTTTATCTAATTTAACACCCATTGAAGTGAATGCAAAAATGCTATTGTAAGCTCTTATATTTTCACAGAAATCCTTTTCGATATTGTCGTTTCTCATAAATAAATTTTTTAGAGATGTAGTATCGCCTGCTGAAGCTAACCTAGTATTAATTTATTGTAGATTAAATGATTTCGGTTAATACTGTATTATAAAGGGAATATAATATTTGGTTTTGTATTCGCATGTACTATTATAATTTGTAATTCCGACTTACTTAATTTTTCCCGATTTACAACATGTTTCTTGTGTTTCAGTTGAAAAGAGTTTCGCGTTACAATAGGTACATACGTGAGTTGTGTCAAAAGTGTGGTGTATTGATGTTTCAGTTTCTTGAAAATTACGGCCGATATTGTGGTGTTTGCATTGATTTTTCGTTCGAAGAGTCGAATTTCGAAACCTTTGCATTCGTAAAGTATTTGTAATTCGACGTTCTTCTGTCGTTCGTGGTCGAAGATTACGAAGAGGTGGCATCTGTAAAGCATAAAATTTTTTGTTTTAATGTATACTTATATATTGATTTTAATTACTATTTTAATTTCACTGTAACTATTGATTTTTGACAGAGTAATTTTCTTTAATAATTTTTTAACATTTACAGGTTTGTGACGCTATAAATTCAAATATTTATATAAATTTTTTGATTATAAATCATGAAAGTTAATCTAACCTTACTTTGTATATCTTCGGCATTTTTTTATTTTTTAGTATTTATGCTTTGCTTATTTAGCGTTTAAGCGAGTTAATTTTTATTTTTTTTTTTTTATTTTTTTTTTTTTATTACACATATTATATTTTAGCAAATTATTTACAGGCATATATATTATATTACATCATTTTTGCGACAAAAATTTATTACTTATATTTTGTCTTTATATGCTAGTATTATTTTCAGGTATATATATTACATTACTTCATTTTTACGACAAACTTTATTATTTATATTTCGTTTTTATATCTTAGGAATTTACACATATTTATATATTTTTTTTTCATGTAATTTTTAATTTTTATTTTTTTAAAAAAATCTACGTATTTAAGGACAATTTTTGAACATGATAAATCAAACTAAGAATGTAATAATTTAGTTAAAATATTAGTTGAAACATAATTTATTCTAATAAATAAAATATATGAAATATACGGATTCACGTGAATAAATGATCGTGTACGTACATAACTGATCGGAATTTATTGTTATTGGATTATCTATTTAATCCAATCAATAATCATAATGAAATATAATTCACGTGAATAAATGATCGTGTACTGTATTGGATAATTTAGTATTTATTTATTCAATTCAATCAGTGGTCATAATCGGAAATGATCTTATTAATATGATTATCAAACGTGGGATTATTATTACGATGATGTTATAATCAGGTATTAATTTTGTAATCGGAAATTAATTAATATTACTTATTTTTATATTATCATATTATATAACGATTACATATTATATGACAATTACACAATTATTACATGAAAATTACATAATTACATCATTATACTATATAACAATTATACTATTTATGATGATATTTACTATACATATTATCATCATAAATTGATTTATGATACATTTTTATTATAATAATATATCGATTACTGTATCTATTGTTTATGATTATCTTATCATATTTCCATTATTATATCGATCACTTATTTAAGATATATCTGATAAGTTATCACCATAACATCGATTATCATGTCAGCTACATCCAATTAAAAATGTCAAATTTCATAAATTCAGAATTTTACGTTAAGGTTACGTTTCTCAGCTACGTCCAATCAAAAACGTTAAATTACACAAACTTAGAATTCTCATGATCAGGTCACGCTTCTCGCTATGCCCACTCTAGAAACATAAAACGCACAAACTCAGAATTTTCCGCTTTCTCAGCTACGCCCAATCAAAAACGTTAAAACGCAAAAACTCCGAATTCACACATTCAGGTCACGCTTCTCAGCTACGCCCAATCAAAAACGTTAAAACGCACAAACTCAGAATTCTCACGCTCGGGTCACGCTTCTCGGCTACGCCCAATCAAAGACGTTAAAACGCACAAACTCAAAATTAAATATATATATATAATATATATATATATATATATATATATATATATATATAATATATAATATATATATATATATATATATATAAGAAGATTATACCATTTTTGCCCACCCCTATATGTAAGCCAGAAAAAAATCCGGTTACCATTTTTTCTGGGCGACGCTATGTAAGTCTTGTGGCTTAGTTGCCTAGTATAGCTCGGAGATCGGACAGGTCCTTGTTGATAATAATTTTCGAGTTTTTATTTTGGCCCTCATCCGTAATTATTTTTATTTGGGCCTTTATGTGTAAATTCCCCTTAAATCTATTTTAGCTTTACGAAAAACTACTAAAAGGATAATGACGCTAGAATAAATATTGAAATAAAAAATCTAAATGTTACAAAATTTTTTTTCATGAATTTTTATTTTACTATTTTTAATTTTTTTTTTATAATCGATATTTAATATACTGATCATGTTATGGATGTCAAATTCCAAAAGGACTTACGTCAATTCTAAATTAAAATAAAATTCCAAAGCTATGATTACATTAAATAGTACAAAACATTAGACTTCTAACATTTCTAACATTCAACAAAGATCACACATGCCTTATCATCTAATAATATTGGACATTTGAACATTTAATTTGTCCAAATAAATCAATTTAAAATAATGAAACATTTATTGGTATTCAACGACCGACAACTTAGTTCACCGACAATTAATTTACAGACAGGCTTATTTTACCGACGATAAACACAAGTCATTTCAGACGGTTTATTACACCGGCAGCTTATTTCACTGATTTTTTCTTATAAATTGCAATAACTTTAACTTTAATTCTAACCCTGACCCTAATGACGATGGTCAGAATTACTTAATCGGTGAAATGAACTGTCTGTGAAATGAACTTTTCTGCTATTTTTGTGAATTAATCGTCGTTAAAATAAGCTTGTCTGTAAATTAATTGTCGATGAATTAAATTGTCGACGTGATTGTCAATCAAACAGTTATATTTATGTAAAGTATTATGGATAATTAATTAAAGCGTAAATTTATTTAACACCTGAGTGATTTATTCACCCTATAATATATATGAGCATGCTAATATAATCAAAGTTAATTAAACTCAGCAAATATCAATTAGTGTAACATAATAGTAAATAATCGTATATAGTGTATGATAGTACATGATAGCGAATAAAGGTAATCACGTATAAATGATGTACAAATGATGTAATAATTAAATGAAGAATTAAATGAAACGAACTGGTTTTGCATTCAAAAAATAATAAAGGTGTAAAGCTATAACAAAAGCCCGTCTAGTCAAACTAGTGCGCAACACAATTTTATTAAGTCTGGTATGTTTGTTTGGCAGTGAATGCAACATAACCAAAATAGTAAATTTGAATACTTGTTTTGATCGATCGTGCATAGAAGCATGATCGGTTTGTTTCTTTTTTTGTACAAAAGCGAAGTTCATTTAATTTATCGTATGTACTAAAAAAATAAATAGTGCGATCTAAGAAAAAGAAATTCAAATTGAGAAAGTGATTGCGACGGAAAATCATACTATATCGTAACTTCTATGTGTTTCTAAGACGAATTTTTATTTTAAAAATTAGAACCGATTTTGTCTTCGTTACTATACCTTTGCATGTTAGAAACCTTACCGGTATTTATTCCAGTATTCACAGTTAAAATTATCTCATACATTCTTAAAGTCATTATTTTAATATTAACATTATTTTTTTGTTTAAAGGAGGCCGATTCCAATTCCATCGTCATCGTTCGTCAGAATCATACTTCTGAACGCTGAAACTTCCATCAATATCTTATTTACTGCTATTATTCTGTAAGTTATTATATTGTTTGCTCTTAAAATCGTTATTTCATATTTAGCTTTAATTTTTTTTGTTTAGAGAAAGCCGATTCTGATTTCATTATCGTTGTTTATCAAACATTCCGTATCATACCTTTTAATGCTGAAAATTTCATCAACATTTTATTTACTGCCATTATTCCGTAAGTCGTTAAATGCCATGCGTTCTTAAATGGACACTATATAATTTTGACTCTGCAAGTATTGGCATGTGTTTTGTTAAAACATAATGCCAGCACGGGCATGGGCACTATATTTTAATAGAGCACATACCAACACTTGCAGAGCCATAATTAAATCTATATCTTAAAATTCACTTTTCAAAATTTTTTTCCTTTTAGAATAAGTCCAATTACGTTAACTATATTACTATAAAATTGGATCTATTTGGGAATCGTGATCATGTTTTCTGATGCCACAGCTAGTGAGTTCTCTGTTAGTAGCACTTTAGTAAACACATGTGCAAACATCAGAGAAAATGACAAAGAATCAGCTAGCATTGATAACACACCATTCGTTAGAAACATACTAGGTTCTGAGTTCGAGAACTATAATGGTGACTTGCCTTTAATTACCTCTCCAATTGAGATTGAGGTGGGAACTCAATTTATCTCTATGCCGGTTGCAGTTCATTACGTAGAACAATATGCTTTTCAGAATCATTTTGCTATTTATAAACACAAGTGTGAGATATTTTCTGATGGAACTTGTAGAAAAAGAGTTTTAAAATGTGATAGGGGTGGAAGATATAATGAACGGCTCTTGAGACCAACATTAGGCAAACAAAAAAACAAGGGGAGTAAAAAACAAGGATGCGCATGGCAAATTAATATAACACGATCTTATAATTCACCAATTGTTACAGTGACATTGCTTAATACTGAACACAATCATCAGATTGATATTGAAACTACAAAGTTCGCTACAGCTTACAAAAGTTTTTCTCAAGAAATTATGGAACAAATTAAATATTATGTTATACATGGTCGGTGCGATGCAACAATGATTAGGAATCTTCTTCAACCCAAGTATCCAGATCGCACTTTTCTTACTCAAGACCTTGGAAATGCCATTCAAAAGATAAAAAGAGAACATAGAATAAATTTAGGTGATACGGCATCTTTATTAACAAAACTGTTAGAGTTTCAAGCTAATGATTCACGGTGGTTTGTAAAGCCATTAATCGATGATACAAGTAGTCGGTTAATCAGTATTTTTTGGATGTCTCCAAAACAACGTGAAAGATGGTTCAAGTTTTATGACATAATCATTCATGATAATACTGCGCGAACTAATAAGTATAATTATCCATTGAGTCTCTTTATTTTGATTGACAATTATAATAAGAGTAGATTAGCAGCACAGGCACTTATACAGGATGAAAGGCAGGAATCATATGAGTGGTTACTTCGGTGTTGTTTAGAAGCCTGTGAAATTCCTCCATTAACTTTTGTTACAGATGCGGATCCCGCCATGGTTGCTGCTATTTCTATCATATTTCCTAAAACCCGTCATATGCAATGTTTATATCATCTTTATCAAAATCTTCCAAAAAATCTTCGATCATGCTTAGGCGTACTTTATCAAGATTTTCTTAAGGATTTTAAAAACATTCGGCATTCTTATTGTGAAGATGTATTTGAGAGAAGAATTGAAGGGTTGCTTGAAAAATATAGGCTGGGAGAAAGATATATAACAATGTTATTAGATCGGAAACATACATGGGTAAAATGCTTTACATCTCGATGTTTTACGGCAAGAACACAATCTACCCAGCGTGTAGAATCAGAAAATGCATTAATTCAAAAGGTTATACAATCAAGTTACTCTCTCTTGGAAGTTCAGGAAGCTTTAGAAAATCGGCTTGAATTTGAGTCGATTAATAATCGTTATTCAATTTGGAAAACATCAACAATGCAATATACACAACCATTCGTTATACAAACATTTTTTACTAGTATCGACTATATAATTAAAAAGTACCTAACTCAGCCAATTTGTGATGCACATTACAAACAAATGTGTCAATCTGTATGTTATTGTACATATCAAGTGCCAATGTCAGAAATTTTATTATCTGATGATGATTCGTTTGAACCATTTTTTGAAAAAAAGCAAACTAATAATTTTGAAATTCTTTCTGAAGCAGATGAGGATTGGGAACTTAACTTACAATCTTTAATTTCAATGATAAATCATGATGAGATTTTAGAAATTTGGAAAGTTTCTCGATATAATTATCCAAAGTGCTATCAACATATAATTTTACTTAATAACGGGGAACATTTATGTACATGCTTTATGCTTGTTACTCACGGGATTATATGTAGACATTTTTTTAAAATCTTTACACTATCATCCAAGGCACGCTTTCATTTAATGTTGATCCCTAAACGTTGGTACAAGGATGAATATCTTGATTCAGATGAAAACTATTCTCATGAAATGGTAGTAAATAGTTCTAATCATAATGATACACAAATTATTCCGGAATTCACTCAAAAATATACTATAACTGATCTTTCAGAAAAATGTCATAAGCAAATATCAAAAAATCAATTAAAATATGGTGCTTTAATGGGCGAAGCAAAAAAGGTAATTCATTATGCATTACAGTATGAAGATAATGAATTAATGCAATTTATGAAAGAATTCAATAAGCGAAAAGAAGATCATGTTCAAGCTCGTATATACAACAATCTTATTACCGGTATTTGTAATACAAATGGGGATTTAGTTAATCCTGAACAGGTTTTAGACCCGTTAAAACATCAATCAAAGGGAAGACCATCATCAAAACGACTAAAATCATCTATCGAACAATCTAAAAATAAAGCAAAATTGAAAGGGTCAAATGCTTCTAATAATGATAGAGGTCGCAAATGTGGGTCATGTGGAAAAAATGGACATTATCGAAATACTTGTTCTACAATGCAGCAGTAATTTAATATATGTTGGTAGTTATACGTATAAAGAATAACCTGTATTGTACAAAGCGATCATAGATTAGCTTATGAACTTTAAAAAATTGTGCAAAGTATAAGATAGTGTAGACTTGAATTTGTTTCAATAATTCGCTGTATTTTTTTTTGCTTTTTGCATAATTCATCAAGATAAGCGCAAAATGAATGTTAATTGATATAATCATAAGCGTTTGCTCAGTATTAATGAGTTAAATAGAACCATATCATTATAATTTAGTCCAAATTATAGACATAATGCAAAAGTAAAGATCTTAAGGCCATGTGTTGTTGGGTAATTGTGTTTTTGTCTTCTTTTTCTTATTACTCATTACTTTTTTTAATGATACTAGATAAAGATAGAGCGCTTTCGGTACCTTTTTATTAGCTATTTGCTTTTACAGCACACTATACTGTACAAATTTATTCAGATATTATTAATGTTCGAGATTAGGTAACATACCTATTGATTAACATGTGGTTCAACAGATAAGTATTTATATTTGATTTCGATCGATATACGTACGTACGTTGAAAAAGGGAGAAATATACCTGAATCCGGAGAACACCAATATCACTACTAAACCTAACAAAACTACTCTAATCCAACCCTAATACTGGCAAGGCTTGGTCCGAGTAACTAGAGTGTTAGATTAGAGCTCTTGATTACGTCACGGGTCTCTTAATTCCTATTGTGTATCGATTTTTTACTTATCGGGGGGGAATTAGTAGGGAGACAAACACTTTCAATATTGAACTCTAACTGAGTTATCTTTATTCAAGGTAATTTTTGTTGTTTATATACATTAATTCTTCAGACTAAAAATCAATACTTATTTTTCTTATTTTTCTTTTCTGAACTATAATACTTTTCTGAACTATAATATTTTTCGTAACTATAATAACTTTCGTAACTATAATAACTATTTACTCGATAATTCTTTTTGTACCGATTCTACCGATTTTTACGATTTTACCTATTTGGTTGATCATAACGATTTTGTCGATTCTTTCGATTTTACCGATTTTGGCAATTTTGCCTTTTACAACGTACAACTATTGCTATGTTATGATCGCTATCACTACTTTATCATATTCATTAATTTGTGCTTCGAGTTTTATTTTGAATTTAAATTAATGTGCATTTAAATATTTCGAACCTACATAGAGTCACAATTCAAGTATTAACATTTTCCTCAGTATTCGTTAGAGGTCAGAACTTGTCAAAAAATAATTTGACTAGTAAAATGTTATTAAAATCACAACTTATCCACTAAAATAAATGGTTTTCTATTAATGAACAGAAAAGTCCATGTTTTCTATTAAATCGGCTAATCATTCAATGGTTGAATGATTACAGTCTTAGTATTCGCCAACAAAAAATTCAGTCGTATATAATTACAAAATTCTTGAAGTTCGGTAATGTAAGGTTAGCAATTTGGAGTAGGGCTAGCGGGGCATACAATATAGTTAAACTGTTTAACGAAATCTTTGTTTTGCACAGATTTTGAAAATTTTTTCAAAATGGACAAGATTATTACATTTGTTATGTTAGAATTGTGTATATATGTTAGCGTACATGTTATAAACATTACACGAAATATTTATAATAAATTTGTATATGGGTGAGAAATATCGAATCTCACCCTGGGTAAATTATAAATTTACCCTTAATTAAATTCTTATTAAATTATTATCCAATAAAATTATTGGACAATTGTGCATACGTCCAATTGGACGTATCGATATGTTCGACATTGTCCAATTTCTAATGGTCCAAATGTCCAAATATCCAAAAGTTCAATTAAATTACCTGGACATTGTCCAATGACAACCCTGTATATCATACAGTATCATGAGAAAATACTATTTTGAACCTTGACTTGGTCCAATTCAAACTACAAACTAACGCAAAACAAGATTTAATACTCATACCAAGTAATTCTCCTGATTTATGTGGTCATTTGATATCTATGAAATCAGGAATCTACTCACTAGATTCATAAACTATACATATAGTTATTCAAATCTGCATCTCCATATTTAGAATAGATTAATCGAAAAACAGTACTTCATTAACGTAACAAAGCCAGAAATTATGTACCTCTATTCCTAATTTAGCATAACTATGAATCAAGAATATATCTTACCGTAAACTACTTAGTAAATAATTATTCTACCAATCAAAAATTAAGTATATATCATACATCAACAAATATAAACTTTCAGATTTTACATAGAACAAAAAAAACACCATGCCCTGTTACGCAAACACAATTATCAAAATTAAACGTATCAAACGAATTAAAAAAGATGCAAAACAACATTCTACATGGGCTATTGGAACATACCCAGTAGGACGTGAAGATAATGAAATCGAACTGGCATTATTTGTACCAATCAATTATAAAGATCGAGATCCTGAATCGAAAGCAATCTTTAAAAGAAATCAATATTACTCCGTTGGAGGAAAGATTTACCTGGATCCCATGATGGAATAACTATTCCAAAAGTATTTAAATGCTTTATGCAAACATATATGTTTAAAATTAACATTAACAACATATTAATATTTAGATGACAGTTTCCACCTCAACTCACGTAACAATCAGCGACAGAGCTCTAAACACAAACAAATGCCCCCTAAGCATTTCTTTAGTGGGAGTACCACAAAAAATGCCAATTGAAATCAAAGATTCTGAAAATTCATCATTGAAACGCTCATATCTGATTATGTCGGCAAACCTTACAACTACTCAGTCAAGATAACCTTTCCACACGCTAATTCACGATTCAAATACTTAAAGCCTACTATCCGTCCACAAGAATCTATTATCTTTGCGGTTGGGCAAATGGAAATAATAGATGATGAATTCTATGTCTACGCCAATGACATCAACTATATTAATACTAACTTCATCACTAAAAAAAAAGAACTTGACATAAATACTGAGTTACCTTCAACAAACCCAATAAGATCTAAACTTCTCAGCGTTCATAATACTACCAAAGACTTAGACGACATCACCAATGATTCTAGACAATCCCGAAAAAGATAATCCGCGCTCATTAAAACGCAAGAGAAAACGCCGAACTAACTGATATCAATAATTTTGAAAATTAATCAAGATCAGAAGAATTAAATAATTCTTCCCAAACAAACCAAGAAATTTAAAAAAAAATTCCACACATAATAGTAAAAAAAAATAAATAAAACATCAAGTTTTAACCATTCACGATACCAAAAGAATTGATACTTCAAGCACAAATACCGACGATTCTAGTTCTGAATAATCACATATTATCATTATGTTCTACGTTCAATATTACTTTAAATGATGCATTATCGAACAACAAAAAACACTCATAATTACATAAAACAAAAGTGATTATGACTCAAAAACAAATAATTTTTTAAAAAAATCTATCTTACAGATTTGTTGCTTTTATCCTAAGCTACAATATTATTAGAATAAATTTCTTTTTCTTATAAAATCAAAAAGTTATTTCAACTTAAAACCTATTCAAAAATTTGGCGTTTAATATAGTAATACATAAAAAACAGCACATATATTTTTGAACAAGAATTGATCATACACAATTTAAACAATCAGAATTGATTACGTAATCTCAAATTTAGCACACTGAAATAATAAATATTTTTCTTTTTATTACTATACAACAAATTTCATCTTTATACATATACCTTTTACCTCTCTGCATATTCGAATTTAAAAAAAAAATTATAAACAAAACCTTAGATAAAGGTAGCTAACCTGATTGTTAAGATTTGATCTTACATTTAGGCTAAACCAATTTAAAATGAATCACTTTTTAATAATCTAATTCAAACATAAAATTCAGCTTTGTCTGTTAAATAATATAAAAAGAATAGTGCAAAGTAACATCAATTTAAATTAAATAATAAAAACAAAGTTATATATATGGATTACATACATACAATTTAATAAATTCCGTCCAAATCCAACCCAATTTAGCATAAATAATAATCATTTTCATAACTAATCCCATCCTCTATTGTCAATTAAATCTAAGCATAAATCTAATCATATATACCGATCGCAAATCGACATACAACAAAATCTCTCTAAATGCACGCTCTACAACTGCACGCTCTATTAAATTCTCTAAATACACGCGTAACTTAATCCCAACTTATAAAACCACCATATATTTCAACCTATAAATGCACAAACTTCTTTTTTTATTGCTGACAGTACCGAAAATAATCTACTTTGAAATATTTTACTGCGTATCAACTTATAATCCGTAAACAAACTATAACTAATGTACATAAATATTTCATGTTAATGCTAAAAACATTTCTACTAACATGGTGCCGGAAGCTTATAACCGACAATGTTTCAATTTTGTGTGACCGTGGTTGGCCAATAAAATTAATGTATTTGATGTACTGCGCCAAAATACGGTATTTTTTAAAATGCTAAAACTTTTTACAACAAATTGTTTTTTAAAAAACAGATCGATAACTTTATATATAAGGCTGAGTTCTATAAAGTTAACGGTCAGTTTTT